CACAGGGCACCCAGGAAACCCCCGGACTACTTGAGATCTCCTGTGAGGCCTCCTCACACCCCTACAGCCTCACCCGGTCCTCCGGATGATACACACAACTGAATCATAAGCCAACCGGCTGCAACCAAAATCATAAGCCTACCAGCTATAACAACACAATCAGCCTACCGGCTTCTACATCAAGTCCTGGCCCTCGGGCCAAAGCCTTCTGGTCAGGCTTCTCTCCACCTGCACCATAATGCAGCCCTCTATGTGCCAAGCGGCACTGCTCAGTTTAGCTCTCCCGCAGAGCTCTTACACGCAGGCTGCCAGAAGGGAACTGCCAGCCAGGCTCCGGCCTAGCTGTTTATAAGGGCCCAGCCCTGCCCCCTTCCGGTCACATGGCCGACCTGGTTACTCCCGCAACCCACAGCTGAGCTGCCCTGATGATTGGCAGCTCCTCCAATCCTTACTCAGGAACGGGGCACCCAAGTGCCCCCGTGACAAACCCTAATACTGGTGCAAGTGTAGACAGTGATGCTTTACTGCGCAGCTAATTAGTCTACTCCACAGTAAAGCGCATGTGTAGATGCTCCCACTGTCAAGCAACCACATATTTAAATACCCCTTTTATTGTCTTGTATGCTATTTTAGCCAAATTGTCTTAGGAGGACCTGTTTACTGGAAGGCAATTATATCCATGAATTCTGACTCTGATTAATATTACTTTTGATGCATAGTGCAAAACTACCATGAAATAAATCTTCAGAACTCAGTGTGAAGAAAATCAATGCTGATTTCACAAGGTAAATTTCCAAACAACTTACAAAAATCTGAAGAGACATTAACTGGAATCTTGACTAGCCCATCCTGGGACTTGGGCCAGAAGCAGTCACAGTTCATTGCACTGCGTTTCTGTCTTCTCAAGACAATGTCACTCTCATATACAATTGTATCTACAGATAAAATAAGTAACATATGAGACAAAGAGAAGGTGATTTTTAGTGGAAAAAATGGGAGTTAGTTGACCAATTCCCAATGGCTTTCCATATGTTAGGCTCCTAACTGCCCTTTGTGCCTCTGAAAATCACCCAATGTGAAAGTATTTTTCTTAACTGCAAACGGATTTAGTAAATGCGTGTGCAGTGTATAAAACAGTATACTGGGACAAGTTAGATCTATGTCACTTACAGGAGAGACAAGTGTTAATATGGAGGACACTACCTTTTTTAATCAATGAAGGTCTGTCTTGTCACTGACAGACTATAAATCTGCTGACAGAACTTTGAAACCCTTCAGGATAAAAGAAGGTAAAGAATGCAAGTCATTGTTCTTTTTTTTTGGACTTGCAGAGTTGAAGAAAAGTTGTCAGTGACACCCAGAACGATTTGTTAAACTGTCTGAAAGAAACTGTACTTACTCAGATTGTGTCACCGTTACTTTCCAAGTTAATGTGTAGTGCAGGGGTTTTCAACCTTTTTTTAATAAGTGTACTCCCAGTGGCCGTACGGAGAGCTGGGGGAGGAGGGGTGGTACACAGCTGGATGAAGATCAGTGGCACCACAGAGCGATGGGTGGCGGCAGCAGGCACCACGTGCGAGCTTCCTTCCCGCACGTCTGGCTGGCCAGGTGGCACCTGTGTGGCCCCCAGAAGGGTGCCGCTGCCCTCTCTGCCCCCCCACCAGCCCTACTCCTGGGAGGTGGCAGCACAGGGTGGTGGGTGGCAGCACTCCA